TTCCAGCGTCTCCCTCTGCTTCATGATTCCTGCTTCCTGCCTCCTCTCTGCTTCTTGTTCCCAGGCACCAACTGTCTGCATATCCCACAGCCAGGCCCACAGCTCCCAGCCATGGCCGGGGTGCAATCCACCTGTGGCTGGCCTGGGCCGGCGTCCTTGTCCTCTTCATCTGTTCGGGAGTGGGCTGAGTGGGAGTCCCTGGGTCAGTTTTGTCTGAGAAGCCATGAGTATGCGGGCATGGACTGCAGTCCTCACAGGGACTGGGGACTGGTGGGGCCCTGGGGTGGCTCAGAAGGGCCCTGTCCCCATTGGGAGGGACCAGGTTCTTCCTCTGAAGCCCTGTCATCCTGGAACTAGAGCTCCAGATGCACATAGACTTTTCGGGGAATGACACCCCTAGAGGCTGAGGGCAGTTAATCCCTGGCTGGGCCCTGGGATCCCCTCCAGGAGCGCTGGGTTCAGAGGGGGCAGTTAGACGTGAGCACTCAGACCTCACATCTGAGCATGACCAGCAGGCCCTCAGGGAGCTCAGGGCCTGGAGTGAGGCTGTCCTATGGTCCTGTAGGGGACCAGGGATGAGCAGGCTGGGACATGGGGGATACAATGCAGAGAAGGGGTGGGCGTGCCGGGCCAGGTTCAGAAAGGCAAGTTGGAGACAGATCACGAGAGAGCTAGGCCGCCGGACTTGGGGCTTGTCCTTTCCTTGGGACCCGGGGAGCCGCAGAAAGGGACAGAGGTGTTCCAGGCCAGAGGATGGCAGTCTGGTTTTGTACCCTGGCTGCCTTGAGAAGGAAGGGGCTGCAATCCAGGTGTCAGCGGCGAGGCCAGGAGGCAACGATGCTGAGACGCACCTACTTCAAATGCAGCTCCACAGCCTGTCCATCACCCTTACTGGGGAGTCCCAGGGCCCACCTGCCGGCATGTGGCTTGTGCAGTCCCAAGGGCTCTCCATGTCCCCTGTCTGTCCATCTGTTGGGAGTGTAAAGCCTCACACTGTTGACATGACAATACCCTCAGGCCCTCTTCAAACAGACACTTACCCCGCCCACACCCAACTTCCTGGAAGAGCTTCCCAGCCCGGTGCCTCCCATTCTAGGCTGCAGGCCACTGACCCCGCTCGGAAAACAGCAGGCTCGCTTTATAAGGAGTGCGTGCCAGGCTTGTGTGCACAGCAATGGCAACTGCTCGGTGGCCTTGCCTCGTCTTGGCTCTGCTCTCTGGCTTGGCAGCCTCTGGCTTCCCAAGAAGCCCCTACCGACTACTCGAGGTGAGTCTGGTGCCTCTTCCCCGCCTCAGGCTTGGGTACCAAACGGGCAGAAGGTGCCATGCTGGGGAAGCCCTCTACGTGGGCTAGCCAGGAGGCAGAGGGCCAGACATGCAGCTTCTGGGGACAGAGCTGTCACTGGGAAAAATGGACTCCGAGCGAGGCCTGAACTAACTTGCTGTCTAACCCTGGGCCTCAGTTTCTGTGTCTGTCAACTGAGCAGTGCGCTCCAAACTGCTGACTTTCCAAGGGGCCACGAAGGTCCAGTTCTTAGACCAGTGCAGAGACCTTTGCAAAACATGAGGGAGCCTGGCTCAGGGTGGTTCTGGGAGGAGGCTGCAGGGCAGCAGGCCATGAAAAGACAGAGTGGGTTGGGGATTAGGGCTCAGAGAGAACTCTGGGTTCCCTTCTCCCTGTCCCGCTCTCCTGGGTAACCTGGAGACCTTCTCGTCTGAGACCTGTTTCCCCATCTCCAACCTGCAGCTCTGGGAGGGTCCCGTGTCTGAGGCCCCCTTAGGTGCGTGTGGGGTGGATAGACACCGCTGAACGCTGGCCTCAGCCCAGAGCCTGCTCCCAGGCCTTGGTGGCCTTGCCCTTGGCCTGACCCCCTCACCCTCTGTTTGTCTGTTTTTGCAGAAACGGAGCCTCCCGGAAGGGGTGAGTACTTTCACAAAGGTTTACCAGGTCAGGGCTAGATGGGGCAGGCGGGATAGAGCTGGCTGACCAATGACTGAAGGTGTGGGCCCAAATAGCAAGACACCCCCCCAAGCGGCAAAGCTTATGGCCCCCCGCTTACAGAACCTGGCAGGGTGCAACCCATTGAGAAAGAGTGCCACAGAGCCACAGTCCTCCGACCTCAGGGGCACAGACCAGGGGCCCCCGCCCGCCCACAAACACTTGCCAAGTACTGTGCGTAGGGCTGGGAATGCCTGGAACGGGAAGGGGCCCCTGTCACACCCTCAGAGAGCACCTTCCTATTTCTGGAACCCAGATGTCCCCTAGAGCCACCCTCAGTCTGTCACCCCATTGGAAAGAGCCTGGGGACTCACCTTGGCAGGAGCTAGGTGCCTGTTTGGGAGACAGAAACTGCTCACTGAAGTACACAGGAGGCAGGCTGGGGTGTGTAGGTGTGTGCTCGTGCGTGTGTGCATATGTAAGGTGTGGAAGGTGAGCAGAAGAGTGAGGGGCAGGGGTCCCCTGGAGCTGGGATTAGCAGAGAAGGCAGGAATCTCCTGGAGGACCTTGGGGTGGCTGGGAAGACAGTCCTGAGGGTGATAGGAGGCTCGAGAAGACTGGGATTGGACTTGGGTTTATACAAGACCTCACTGGCTACCGCTGCGTGTAAACAGATGACAGCGTTCCAAGGCAGAGTCAGCAGGGCCAGTGCATGGCATAATGGTTACATTGCTGGACTCCCATGTGGTCAACCGCGGTTCGAGTCCCAGACCCAGCAGCTTAAAACTCACACCAGACATGTGTGTGTGCATGCCTAAGATTCCAAGAAGAAAACGGAGAAGAGATTGTGGCGTGGCCATCCCCCCGGGAGATGACTTCTCACTTTCTGTCTCTGTCTTTCTGGGCGAGCACATGCACACTATGACAACAACAACAATAAAACTCTCTAAAAAACAGAAAAAGGAAGGCAGAGGCACCACCAGAACAATGGTGACCGATAGAACGTGGGGACCAGGGACACCTGCTAGGTTTCCCATGTGGGTGACTGGGAGTGTGGAGGGGCTCACCAGGCCCCTCAGAACCTGCCACTTTAGAACAGAAGGGGCCAGACTGAAGAGCTTCTCTCCGGGGGCTGTGGTCTGGCGGGCACCTGGCTGACCCCATGCACCTCTCCCACAGGCGGTCAATGGCATCGAGGTCTACAGTACCAAAATCACCTGCAAGGTGACCTCCCGCTTTGCTCACAATGTCGTCACCACCAGGGCTGTCAACCGTGCAGAGAATGCCCAGGAGGTTTTCTTTGACGTGGATCTGCCCAAGACGGCCTTCATCACCAACTTCACCTTGTGGGTGCCATCACGGCTGCTGGCTGGGCTCAGGGCGGGAGCCTGGCCTACTTTGACCACCCCTCGACCCCCAAATGCTCCTTCCCCACAGGACCATCGACGGCGTTACCTACCCTGGGAACATCAAGGAGAAGGAGGTGGCCAAGAAGCAGTATGAAAAGGCAGTGTCGCAGGGCAAGACAGCCGGCTTGGTCAAGTAAGTGTGGGCCTGCAGGCCCTGGGGAGACTGCCTGGGCTTGCAAGGGCCTTCTGAGGTGCAAACTGCAATCCCAGTTGTTCCCGGTATAGCAAACCATGCCCACAGTTTTTACATTATCCCACATAAGGCACAGTTAAAGCTAAGGCAACTGAGGCTCAGAATGGTTAGCAAGGGGCCGGCAGGTGACCTGGTGGTTAAAGTACTGGACTCTCATCTGGCCAACTGTGGTTCAAGTCCTGGACCTGCTGGCTTGCTTTCTCACTTTCCTTCTCTTTCTCTCTCTGGTCAAATTGAAGTATAATAGTAAATAAATAAAATAAAATAAAATAAATTTTTTAAAAGGAATGGTTAGGAGTCTCCCTAGACAAGGGGCTAGGACCTGAACCTGGGGCTGAGGAAGGGTGGGTCCATGCAGTCTTTGGGGCATCACGGTTTCTCCCCATTCAGGGCCTCCGGGAGGAAGCTGGAGAAATTCACGGTGTCAGTGAACGTGGCTGCGGGCAGCAAGGTCACGTTTGAGCTCACGTACGAGGAGCTGCTGAAGAGACGCCAGGGCAAGTACGAGATGTACCTCAAGGTGCAGCCCAAGCAGCTGGTCAGAGACTTCGAGGTAACCTCGCGCTCCTGCAGGGGCCCGTGGGGAAGGGCCACGGACTGGAGCTCAGAGCAGGCTTGAGGTGATAGAAGTCCTGGTCCAAGCCGTGGCTGAGGAGGGATCACAGTGGTTCTGGCCACAGTGCCTGGGGGTGGCGGGGAGGAGGCTGGGCTGGACCTGTCAGATCCAGATTCAGTGGTGGCTTTTCACCTGCATGGGAGCTGAAAGGCAAGGGCACTGCTTCAGAAGTGGAGCTGGGACACCATGTGGCAGCTAAAACAATGCTCTAGGATCAAAGTCCCCTTCTGCAAGTCCCCAGGGTCATTTTCCTGGTGGGAGATAGCAGGCTTGGCCTGTGATTTTTTTTTTTTAACATTATTTATTTATTTATAACGATTATTTTTTAAGTTTGCTATAGGGCAGGTGTACTCTGAGAGACAGAGAGTCGTGACATGTTGACATGACAATACCCCCAGTGAGAAAGCAGGCCACCAGGCTCAGGACTTGAACTGTAGTCAGCCATGTGGGAGTCCGGCACCTCAACCACCATGTCACCTGCTGGCTCCAGCCTGTGATCCTGTCCTAACGGGTCCTTGCATCCTTGTCTCACTCCCCTTGGCTTGTCCTACGGGCCAGCTTCCCAATGCCCCAAACGACACGTCTTTCCTTCGGCCATTACAGATCGAAGTGGACATCTTCGAGCCCCAGGGTCTCAGCATGCTGGATGCCCAGGCCTCGTTCATCACCAATGACCTCCTGGGCAGTGCCCTCACCAAGTCCTTCTCAGGGAAAAAGGTGGTGTAGACGCCTCTCAAGCTACAGGGGCAGGGAGGGGCAGGGACACTGACCCCAACAGGTCATGTCTGGCCGGGTGCGGCGGATGCGAGCGTGTCTGCTGGGTAGGGGGAGATTGACCTGCAGCCATCCCCTCCTCCCTGGCCACTTGGGTCAGAAATGAGGATGCTGGAGGCAGGGGTTGCTGACAATGACCTGCCAGAGGAATTAGGGCCTCAACGACACCGAGGGGAACAGGGGAATATGATAAAGCCTGGTCCCATTCCACCTTGGGAAGTGGACAAGGCAGGGGTCATTGTCCCTGTCTACAGATTAGGACACTGAGGCCAGAAGAAGCTATTTAGATCTCCTGACTCCACATTGCAGGGTGAAAAGTTAAAGAGGGCTTCCCCCTTAGCACCCCCGTCCCCAAGACCCCAGCTACTCCAGGGCCATTGCCGGCATGAGCGGTGTACAAACGACAAATCTCAGCCATTCAGGACTCCAGGGCAAGGCCGGGGAGTGCACGTCCGGGGCTGTTGGCTGGTGTACCCCCAATCCCATTCCCCTTCCTCTCCCCTCTCTCTTGGCACAAACACTCCAGCATGCAAAAACACCCTCCAAGAAGCTTTTATGGTGCAAAACTCCCTTTCCTAAGTAGCTTCCAAGTGAGGACAGTGACAGGGGAGAGAGAAAAGGCAGTCTCCTACAAGGCTCACATCCTCCCAGGAACCCCTGATCTCCAAGGGGAGAGAGGTGCCCGGAAGGACCAGAGCACAGAGCAGCAGCGTCCTCTGGGTCTGGAGGTGGCAGGCAGGGCTGCCCAGGCCTCCCGCTCTTGCCAGCCCCTGCCCCAAGGGCTCTCGCCTGTGAGGGCTGCGCCTTTGCACCCCAGGGCTCTTTGGTCAGGCCCTGTCTGAAGGGAGCAACACTCTCCATCTCCCTCCCTCAGGGTCATGTGTCCTTCAAGCCCAGCTTAGACCAACAGCGTTCATGCCCAACCTGCACAGACTCGCTCCTCAATGGGGACTTCACCATCACCTACGACGTGAACCGAGAGTCTCCCGCCAACGTGCAGGTACCTGGGCCGGTCGGTTCGCCCTCACGGTGGGAACGGCTGCAGCCACGTCTGTGCCACCAACCTGGACCCACGAACCGCCGCCAGCCACGTCTGTGCCACCAACCTGGACCCACAGCCCAAGGCTATTTATCTTGTGACCTGGGACAGTCAAGGCCCCAGAGCTTTTGCCAGCAGCCCCTGGCGGGCGGAGGGGAACCGCCTTTACTTGGGGTGGTAGATGCCTGGCTTCTCCCTGAGAGCGCCAGGCAGCGTGGTGTTGGTAAAGGAACATTGGTCTCCGCCCCTCTCCCGTCCCTTCAGATAGTCAATGGCTACTTCGTGCACTTCTTCGCGCCTCAAGGCCTCCCGGTGGTGCCCAAGAACGTGGTCTTCGTGATTGATATCAGCGGTTCCATGTCCGGTCGGAAAATACAGCAGGTACCCTCCCTCGCTCGAGCGCAGCGCTGGGGACGGGAGGGGGAGACTGGTCTCAACGTGGGAAAAGATGATATTCCTGGGGGAAAAAGAAGGAAAGGAGAAGGACGACAGAGGCGCGAAGCATCTGCCAGCCTGGGACGCGCCTTCGGCATTGCTGTCTCTCCCTTCCCCAGACCAGGGAAGCGCTTCTGAAGATCCTGGATGATGTGAAAGAGGATGACTACCTGAACTTCATCCTGTTCAGTGGTGGCGTGACCACCTGGAAGGACCACTTAGTCCAAGCCACTCCCGAGAACCTCCAGGAGGCCAGGGCATTTGTGAGGAAGATTGGTGTTGATGGAAGTAAGAGGGGGGAGGGCTGCCAGGTGGCATGGTGGTTAAGGGCACTGGACTCCCACATGGTTGGCCATGGTTCGAGTCCTGGACCTGGCGGCTTGCTTTCACTTTCTCTCTCTCCCTCTCTCTCCCTCTCTCTCACTCTGTCCCTCTCTGGTCAAATTAAAATAAATAAATAAAGGGTCCAGCAGGTGGTGTGGTGGTTAAAGGCACTGGAGTCCCACATGGCCAACTGTGGTTCGAGTCCCAGACTTGGTGACTTGATTTCTCCCTTTTTCTCTCTCTCTCCATCTTTGTCTGATAAAACTAAAAATAATAACAACAAATGGAAATCAATCAATAAATAATTCTTTAACAAATAAATAAAATTAAAAATGAAATAATTATTTAAAAAAAAAAAAGAAAATCAGAAATACCCATACTGTATCCCTTAGGCAGCAGGAGGGACTGGGAGTCCATCTGTCTCTCAAATTGCTTCTCCAGCTGCCCCTGCTTCCTCCCCGCTGGCAGCCCTTCCGTCCCCACCTGACGTCCCAGGTCACCCATTGGCTCGTGCACTGCCTCACTGAGCCAGGCTATACCGACACTGCCTGGACTGGGAGCAGGTCACATGGGTGCAGGGCAGGGCCTGCCACCTCACCTCCTCCGCTCCAGTGTTCTTGTACCACAGCGCCCTGAGGACGCCGTCCACGGTGATGCCTCTCTGTCCATCCTAGTGACCAACATCAACGACGGGCTGCTGACGGGTATCACCGTGCTGAACGAGGCCCGGAAAGAGCACAGGGTCCCAGAGAGGAGCACCTCCATCGTCATCATGCTAACTGATGGGGACGCCAATACAGGTGAGGGGCAGGTGTGGCTGTGACCCGGAGCCCAGTGCCCGGCTGCTGCTCCTGGCTGTGTAGCTGGCTCACTGCCAGGTTGGGGCACTTCTCTCCGGGGTCCCCACCCTCTGTCAGGGCTCTGCACCCTCTCCCCTGACAAGGGCCCCAGGCCATGACTCTACTGGCTCTGCTCATGCAGGACTCAGGTCTCCTGGGACAGAGCTGGTCCAGACAGCTCTCAGGGCTGTGGCTGGAGCACGGGTGCCCCCTTCTCCCACAGGTGAGAGCAGACCTGAAAAGATCCAAGAGAATGTGCGGAACGCCATTGGGGGCAAGTTCCCCTTGTATAACCTGGGCTTCGGCAACAACCTGAATTATAACTTCCTGGAGACTATGGCCCTGCAGAACCACGGGCTTGCCCGGCGCATCTACGAAGACTCCGATGCCAGTCTGCAGTTGCAGGTATGCCTTCTCTTGCGTGCTTGCAGGAAGGCGCCCACTACTCAGGCAGCTGTTTCATGGTGGGACAGTTTAGGTCATTAGGAAGGGCTTCCTCTGGGGTTGAAGTCAACCTCTGGCTATCTCTTACCCATCAATGATGTTCCTAATTTTGTCCCTGGGCTTCCTCCATGGGACTGCTAGATCAAATATAGACATCCAATTAAATATGCATTTTTGAGAGGTTTTTGCCGTAGGGCGCGTGAACACGCCAGAGAGACAGAGAGAGAGAGACAGAGAGAGAGAGACAGAAAGCAAGAAATCCCCCCCCCCGGGGTGGGAATGACCACGCCGCAATCCCTTCTCCTCCATTCTCCTCTAGGGATCTTGGGCACGCACGCACACACGCCTGGTGTGAGTTTAAGCCACCGGGTCCAGGACTCAAACTGCGGTCTACTGCATGGGAGTCCAGCGACATAGCCAGTATACCAACTACTAATTACAAGTATTTTATGTGCCAAGAGTTCTGGTTGCTTTCCTTCTTTCTAGTCTCTGCCTGAGGGGATAGGCAGGGCTCCAACAGATAGAAGGGCGGAGTCAGGGCCCCGTGGAGGTGAAACTCAGGAGCCAGGACTGGCGCAGCCCTGGGGGCTCAGCATCGCACTGCAGTATTGGGGGAGCCCGCCATCCCACCCCGGGCCTCTCCGCCCAGGGGCCCGAGATGATCGTCCTGATCTGGCCTCCAGGGTTTCTACGAGGAGGTGGCTAACCCCCTGCTGATGGACGTGGAGGTGCAGTACCCTGAGAACGCCATCCTCGACCTCACCCAGAACACTTACCAGCACTTCTACGATGGCTCCGAGATCGTGGTGGCCGGGCGCCTGCTGGATGAGGAGATGAACAGCTTTAAGGCGGACGTGAAGGGCCAGGGGGTGAGTGGGCCGGGGCTGAAGCGTGTGTGTGTGTGTGTGGGGGGGGGGGGGGGGGGGGGGTTCTGCT